AGAAATAGATAAATAGGTTCAAACACGTTTTAAGGGTTAACGAATCAAGGATCAATTCATCTTGTTGTCTTCAATCTTGTCTTGCTCGACTTGAATCCTCTCGCGTGTCTTTTATTCTCTTTTTATTTGGTGTTCTCTGATCTTCTGGTGAATTGATTCTAGATCTTTGAACCGCTCGTCTTGAATTATTGGATCTGTTTCTTTCTTATTCCTTTCCTTTTTTTCTTTTTTCTTTTTTCTCTTTTTCTCTTTTTCTCTTATTTTTTTCTTTTTTTTTCTTATTTTTTCTTTTTTTCATTTTCTCTTTTTTTTTCCTTTTTTCTTTATTTTTATGTCTTTTTTGTTACTATATTTTTTCTTTTTTCTTCTCTCTGTGTCGTCAACACGATTTGATCTTTGAGCGATTCGTATTTGGTCTACCTCGCGGTATCTTGTTATTTCTCACTTTATTTCATTATGACTTGTTTCTCTAACAAAATATAGATTGATGATCTTCACTCATGCGAGAAGATGTCCTTCACTTTTGCCCCCCAGTGTGGAGGGTAGTACTTGGTTAGGGTTGAATCAGAAGAAAAATAATAATATATTCTCAAAAGGGAACAACAAGGGATATATATATACATATATTTAAAAGGATAAATGAAACAAAGTCGTTCATCATCTCAAATATGGAAGTCTTTGCAAAAGAGTGTTGCGTATTGTGAGTACTATAAAATTATACGCAAATAATGTGTAAGTATACACAATCGCTCAAGTAATAAAGTGATGAGTGAGTATTGTCTCCACATGGATTGGGTGAAATTAAAAAAGTTTAACCAAAGCAAAGCACTACTATATCTAAGTATAGTTAGTGTTGATATATATTAAATTAAAATATCACAGCAATGGAAAGTAGCTGTGGGTGGATATGGATTGATATTCTGATGAAGTAACAAATGGAAATGTAGTGGCAAAACAGATTTTTAATATTGAAAATGATTGAAATGCTAAGGAAATGAAAAACGGTAAAAACAACAAATAAATGATAGTTTGATAATCCTCACACAATAAGCTTCCACTGGAATGAATGGTAGGGATTGATTTAAGGATGCTATAACTTATCTCAAGTAGATTTAATCTATCTAAACTTCACTTGCTAGATAGGGTTTGCTGAAAATGCTCCGGCTATCTCTAGTCAAATGAACCTAACATAATAGAATACCATGACATCTCCTCTCAGTCTCAGCTATGACAACCTACACTATTGATAAAAAACTACCCTTTTTAGTCGTTGAAATCCTATCTTAGTCTCTCTCAAGTACTAAGGGATTAGGATATAATATTACTAGGCTGGTTCAAAGCTTTAGAAAATATTATACCCCATTGCTTATGTGGATTTTTTCTTGTGTTTCTCTCGAATACTACAAGTAATATTAGCTAAGTTTCTCTCGAACACCAAGCCTTCATCTAAGAAATGGACACTCTCATGCCTCTTACAAACTTAAACGATGAAGCATTCATAAGCAAAGCAAGCAAATACAAAAGATAAACATAAATCTACTATTAAAATAAAGTTAAACATCTATCAAACAACCCCACCAAATAAAGTTGGTTCATGATGGGGTTTGAATCATCCATATAACAAGCCATGAAATATTCGTTCCAAACAACCCAATAATAAATGGAAAAATAGCAGCAAAGGGAAAGGAGAAGAAGCCTTCGACGCGTGCCACCGGAGCTCTCCTCAACCACCAAGACTCGCCTTAGCTCACTAGCTCCTCTCGGACGTCTAGCTTGTCATTCCTTGGAGCTTATCAATGGAAGAACACTACTAGAGGAAGAAGAAATGGATACGGTGAAGAAGATAAGAAAATGTTGCTCAAAATTCCTCCTCTAGTCTCTCTCATGTGAGGTGTAATATATAATAAAAATATCTAAGGGTAATGATGAGGTTGTTGCGCTCAAAATACCCCTAGAGCCACTCCTTAGGCGAGAGTCTTATCCTTCCATGTGGAAGTGGTCCCCAACAGGCAGTTACAGCTATCACGTGCTCTGCAAGCTGTCTTTTTTACAAAAATATCTTTTTGTTCGTTTCTGTGCCAAAAATACCAAGGCATTTCAATCTGCTTCAGTAGCGTGTGATGTCACGACATTCCTTCCCAGTGCCACATTCTGCTTGCTATTTCTTGCACACCATAAGCAATTGCACCTTTATCTCATACATCATCCTTAAAAGATAAAAGAGCAATATCATTACAAATGCAACTATATGCAACTACATGAGCCTAAAATGACTAAAATGAGCATTTAAACAAACAATAACTTAAGTGAAAAAGTCCTTAAAAGTAGCCTTTTTAGGAAGTTATCACGCCCTCAAACTTAAGTTATTGCTTGTCCTTAAGCAATGCACATCAATTAACATAAGCAGTATGTCATGGCAATTTTCAACAATAGGACAACAGGACAAAAATTGAATTTCAACCCTCAAAAAAATTGGCTTCAACATGCTAGACATATCAAGAATTCAAGTATTTTTCCCTAGGTCAAGATTCTTTGTGGAAGTGTGTGTGCGTGATTGTATTCAATTTATACTTAACATATTTAAACAATTTCTAATCAAGTTCCCTAGTTTTAGCCAAGACATTTACTTATTCATTAAGCACATTTTTACTCCCTTTTTACTGATTTTTTTTTCAAATGCTGCTACGAAGGGAGTCAGCTCATCACACCTACTTTCCCACACTCTAGGTAAAAGGGAGCATACCTTCCACCCCAAGCTAGTTAAGTAGAGTCATCCCATGACTACTTTTATTCACTCATATGAGTGTGCTACCATTTATTAAAAAGTGTTCCAGACAATGCCACGACAAATAAGAGTGTCCCTCTACAGATATGCCTAAGCATTTATTCACAGTCTCAGATATAAGAGAGTTATTTTTTATTTATCTTTTAAGAACAATACTAAATTTCAATGCCAAAACAAACTAGGGTTCCTTCATAAAAAATTTTCTAAATTTCCTAAGTATAGAGAACATACAAATCGTGTAAAAATAATTCACAAAGCACCAAGCCCTAGAGTCAGTTCTATCATTCTCAATAGTCATTTATATTCAATTTCTTAGCCTAACAAGTTCATGATCATCGGGTATCATCAAGACATTTTATCTAAATGTCCTACCGCTTACTGATGACATGGCATAATGTTACACTGATGCTATCATGCATATGTTCTACCGAGAACATTACATCCCCCAAACTTAAGGAAAGCATTGTCCTCAATGCTTAAAGAGAACTAAAAGAAATAAAACTATATACCATTCAATGAAAAATAAAATGAATGCAAGTGGATGTACCTCATGGTTTGTGTGGTGGTGTTGCCTTGGAGGTGCTGGCAGCTCTTCGTCTAGTGCACTTTCACAATGGTGCAGGGATGGATTCTGAAGAGCTAGAGTGGTATTGTGCTACATTGAAGCGTCCAACTGATGTTTTGGTACGTTGGCTACTATGTTGTGCAGAAGAGAGGTCAGGCACATGAACTGGATTTGGTATTTTTCAACAGGAACAACAAGTGAGTCAAGGGTCTGGGAACATTGAGGGTCTGGAGTCAGTTCTTCAACTAGAGGGTCGACGTCATCTTGTTCTGGATCGGGAGATGCCTCGTCATTTAATGATGGTAGAATTTCATCCGAAAAGCCTGGAAAATTCTGTTGAACGTGGGGAAGTATTTCTTGAAAAATTGTTTCCACCACACCATCTCTATGTTTGACATAACCAAAAAAATTTTGAATAATAGCTTCTTCGAGAGCAAGCATCCTGGCCTCAGTATTAGATTGTGCAGTATTTGCAGACTTCTCATGAGCAAGGGCCTTAGATTTTGGGTTTTCATGTCCTAACAATAATGGTAATCTAGCCCTAGTAATACCCGAAACTCCAGATAAAATTTCATCAAAAGCATTTTCACTTACCTTTTTCTTTCGACACAAAGCAGTAATCAAATTTAGAAACACTAAAGCACTCACATTTTTTCCTAGACATTCATGCACTTGTTGAACAATTATCCTACCCACATTAATAGAATGGGTTTCCATAAACGAATGTAAGAGCAGTAAATAGGGAAGAGATATCGTCGTATTATGGGATGTGGCCATTAGCTTGTGCTTCAGAAAATGGTTCCACAATTTGGCACGCAGTTGGAGATGTTCACAGTTAACCGAGTAGCGGCTAGTTTGGTGACCATTCCATGAGGTATTTGCAAAGCGTAAGTCCTCCAAAACTCCATCATAAGTGGCACTTTCAGCGTCATTTTCTAACTTTACATGTTGGTCTTCAACACCCTGCAAATGAAAGTATCGATTAATAACAGTTGGTGTAAACTGAATATACTTACCTCGCACAAAAATAGAATGTTGGATCGGTTTGGAAATGTTAGCATAAAATTCTTTCACCAGTGATGAATTCACTGAACCAGGGTACCTTGCAAACTTGTGCCATTTGTTTGGAACAACTATGTCCATCACGTCTGGCCCAAAACGGCCATCCACTTCATCGGTAAAAATGAACCTCACCTCAAAGAAAAGCTTCCTATTTTTGAAGTTTTGAAACCTTTCTTTGGATTCATCATTTTCAAACTGTTGATCAATAGGAGCTTCAGCTTCGACGGGTCTCGTACGCACCATTTTTTCTCAAAGTTTTGAAGAAAGAAAATTTTAAAAAGACGTGAGCATTATTTGCTTGGAAAACTTGAAGAGTTTTGGTTATGGGGAAAATGAAAGAGGAAGAAGAGGAAGTGAGGAAAGATAAAAAGAAAAAGTAAAAATAGATTGATTGATAAGACGGTTGAAAGAAATGAGTGGATGGGGGATACATGGGTAAGAGGGAAAAGAAAAAGTAAACTGTAAAAGTAATAGGGATGGGACAAAACAGTGGAGAGAGAAAAGTTAAAATAAAAAATAAAAGAAAAGAAAAAGGAAGAAATCAAAAAGAATCTTTTCCCCAAATGATTGATTTGTCATTTCCTCCCTTTAGTAACTGCTCTTTGCACGGCTGTAGTGTTGTGATCCCTATAAAATAAATCAAAATTATCTACAAAATAAAATAAAAATAAAAATAAAAATAAAGGAAAAAATAAAATTATTATTATTTATAATGTCGTGGCATCGGAATTTGGTCTCAGTTGGGCACACTTCAGCATCGTGCAGATACAACATTGCCTTGTTGTATAGTGGAGGAACTCCATTATAAGCTTTCAGACGCTGGCCATTGACTTTGAAAATCGTCCCATCGTCTATATTCTTGATGTCAACGGCACCATGGGGATAGACATAATGCACCTCAAATGGCCCTGACCATTGAGATTTAAGCTTCCCATGAAAAAGTTTAAGCCTAGAATTATAAAGCAGTACTTGTTGGCCAATATGAAAATGTCATGGCATCAGTTTTTGGTCATGCCACTTCTTGGTTTTTTCCTTGTATATCCGTGCATTTTCATATGCTTGTGCTCTAAATTCTTACATTTCATTAAGCTCTAGTAATCTCTCCTCCCCAACTAGTTGAGACACAAAATTCAATTGCTTAATAGCCCAGTACGCCTTATGTTCAAGTTCAACCGGGAGATGACAAGCCTTCCCATACACCAGCTTAAACGGTGACATTCCCAACAGAGTTTTGAACGTTGTTCTATATGCCCAAAGCACTTCATCTAACTTTGGCGACCAATACTTTCGCCTTAGGTTAACCACTTTTTCTAAAATCTATTTGATCTCTCGATTGGATATCTCTACTTGGTCATTTGTCTACAGATGATATGTCGTGGCAATCTTCTGTCAAACTCCATATCTCCTTAATGCCTTGGCAATCAACTTTGTTGAGTTAATCGATCGATGAAATAGCCAAGAGGGGGTGAATTGGCAATAAAAATTTTGATGGAAGTTTTTGCAAAAATAGAAAATATTTGCACAACGATTTAGAGTGGTTCGACTTTCTCAACCAAAGTCTATGTCCACTACCTTAGCTATCCACACTAAGGATTTTCCACAAATTTACTAATTTATCTTTTTTTTGAGGACAAAGAGTAACCTTACAAATCCCTCAAGAATTATACCCCAAATTCTTGAGAACACTCTCTCCCAAAGAGAACAATACAAATTTCGTAAACTTACAGAAAAACCTCACAAGGTAAGATGTTTGAACAATTCTAGAAAAAAGAAAGAACACTCAAGAATAATACAATTAAGCACAATAAGTGTTCTTGAAAGCAAAAATAAATATTGAATGAAATAGGCTTGAAAATGCTCAAACTTGAGGTTTGATGCTATCTCTTTGATTCTATCTCAATTCTTGTTTCTTGTTATTGATCAAAGGCTCCTAAGCTTGTTTAAATACACCTTGAATCACTTATGAATGTTGGAGATCATTGGTGAAGTCAACAGAGTCGTTAATGAGTAATTATCATTTAAAAATCTGGTTGGGAGCGTGGGGGTATCGATACCCCTCCATAGGGTATCGGTACCAGCAGTGTAAAATTCAAATATTTCAACCGTTATTTGACTAGGGGTATCGGTACCACAAAGGGGGTATCGATACCACAAGGGGGTATCGGTACCCGTAGAGCATTCTGTTTTTCTCGGAGCCAAAACTTGCATAGGGGTATCGGTACCACAAAGGGGGTATCTGTACCACAAAGGGGGTATTAGTACCCTATGGGTAATCTGGTTTTTCTTGAAGCCTTTTTATAAGGAAAATATTTTTGGCTCGATTCAGGCTCGAAATACTTTGTAAAATTTGTTTCAAAAATTATTTTAAGATTAAAACACAATTTTACACTTAAGTAAGGATTGAAATTGACATTTGAAAACTTGGAGTAATATTTTGATGTTCGAATGATTGAATCAAATATACTTTAAAAATGATTTGTAAAATCTTAAAATTCATTTATACTTAATTTGTTATATCGAAACATTGAAGCATCAAAAATGTTTTCAACAATCTCCCCCTTTTTGATAACAAAACATTTGAGTAATTTTCAGATTTTCTTAGAAAATTCATTTTAGAGATCAATTTTGAAATTTATTACTCCCCCTTACTATATAACACCTTCTCCCCTTTTTGTTAAATCAAAAAGACTCTATAAACGTTTTTAAACAAGGCTTTTGAAAAATTTAGCCAATTGATATGTAGAAATTGAAAGTTTAAGCTGCTAAGAATACAATCAAGAGAAAGGTTAGCCATTAGTTTCATAAATCAATATTCATAGATAATGTAGATGATGCAAAAATTAATAAGCATAAAAATTCGACCAAACCAAATATATAAATATAAGTATGTAAGTTCAAACATCCAAAAACAAACTTAAACATTCAAACATCGAATTCAAAAACATAAAAAGGTTTATCCAAAATATTAATCCTAAGTTCAATCCAAGCAAAACATAGTATAGCAAGGTAAGATCTAATCCATAGGAGGATCGGGAGGAGGATGAGGATAACGTGCTCGCATCTCTAGTGTGAGCGTATCTAAGCGTTCGTTCATCTCCCGTTGTTGAGCCCCCATAGCAGTTAAGTGGGACTCTATGGATGTAAACCATAGATCAAATGTCTCCATAAACGATCGAAAATATAGAGGCATTTGATCCTCTTGATGTGTCGGCTCATCGTCAGGAACTTCATCGTTGATATCTTGCATAAGTTGTTGAAGTTCTGGATTATCGTTTGCTGCCGGTACCGGTGGAGGTGGAGCTCGTGAAGAACTAGCTCCCGGTGTTTGCTTGGTGGATCGAACCATTGATCACCTTCATTCTTCCATCCTAGTTTCTTTAAGGATATCAAGTTGATTTGGTTTTTGAGTGGGATGGTTACATCAAGCTGTACTCTAAGCTCGGCTTTTGTAAACAAATTACTCAGAAGACAACTATAAACTAGAGTTTCACAAACTTTCTTATTAGGGACAAGGTTTACGGTTTCAACGAGTTCGGAAAAGATAATCTGAGGTTTGCTTGTGGATCGAACCATTGATCACCTTCATTCTTCCATCCTAGTTTCTTTAAGGATATCAAGTTGATTTGGTTTGAGTGGGATGGTTATCAAGCTGTACTCTAAGCTCGGCTTTTGTAAACAAATTACTCAGAAGACAACTATAAACTAGAGTTTCACAAACTTTCTTATTAGGGACAAGGTTTACGGTTTCAACGAGTTCGGAAAAGATAATCTGAGGTAAGTTTATTTTCTTATTATTTTGGATACAATGTATCCACCAAAGGTCTAAAGCTCTAAAAGTGGAGTATTTGCCTCCGGATGGTCGAAACCACCAAGAGATTATCAGATGAAGAAAACGATCTTGGTGATCTAACACACTCGCACTAGACCTGACCTTATAAGGAGAACTTAATGTTTCCTTTTCATTATCTAATCCGTCATTATCTAATCCAAATGCGTTAGCAATATAGGCCGAGTCAATATAAATGAATTTACCTAGAAGATAGGATCGAATTCCTATTATTTCGGTTCTAGCTCGGTTTTGGATACAAACGGCATTTGAATAGTAAATTCGAACAAGTTGTTGGTTAACTATTGGTTCGAGATGAAAAAGTTTATCAAATTTCCAATCTTGAAGAGTAGGAAGATATCTAAAGTTTAATGCTTCCATAGCTCGAAAAGAAGGAATATGTTCTTCCCGAATTTTGTAAGACTCGAAGAGATAGACAAACCTATGGTAAAGATTATCCCTACGGCCAGGTTTGTTAAAAATCGAAATAGGATAGATAAATGCAATTTTAAAATATATGTATGCAATACAATCAATTCCCAAAACTCAAATGAGTCCTCAATATTTCAAGGTTCTCTAAAATAATTCTAATGAGCAAATTTTTGAAAAATATGTTTGAAAATCAAGGTGTAGTTTTCAAAACAATAAAATTAAATCAAAAAAATTAAAAAAACAAAACAATTTTTTTATTATTTTGAAATTAAAAAAAATTGATCAAATCTTGTGTTGTTGATGAAATTAGTTGTAGATTCTTGTTTTAAAACAAAATCTAAGTAATGTCCGATCACTATTTCAACCTAGAACTAATTAAAACTAGTACTAAGTTAAAAAAATCAATAAAATAGAGTTTTTAGAATAGTTACCTTGAAAGATGAAGATTGAGTGGATTTTGAGGTTGTTTGCACGAAATTAATGATGCTAGCATGTTTAGGAGTTGAAAACTGAGTGAAATCCGACTTGAAACCATTGTTTTTAGGTAATGTAGAGATTAGGGGTGATAGAGAGAGTGAATGGCGTGAGAAGAAAGAAGAGAGGGTTTTGAAATAAAATGAGATTTTGGAGGCTTAAAAACTAGAACCCGAAGGGGGTTTTGGTACCCTCATGGGGGTATCAGTACCCATGCAAAGATGGTATCGGTACCCATTCAAAGATGGTATCAGTACCCATTCAAAGGGGGTATCGATACCTAGCGCACAAAAAATTTAAAAATATGTGTTTAAACACTCAAAATGTTAAATTAATCTGCTCTGTGAACTCATATTACGAAATTAAGTATGTAATCAATCAAATCTATCTTAATTTTAGAACATATAATTAATTTTCACTAAGAATTATAAACTCCCCCTAACTAATAGCAAAGAATGTAATCAAAAATATTATTTTTAAAAGCATTTTCCAAAACTAATTAAAAGTGCTAAAATTATTTTAAACACTAAGTCGAGGTAGGTTTGTTAAACCTAATTCTCTCCTAAGTGTCCAAAATCTTTCTTTATCTAAAGGTTTTGTAAAAATATCCCCTAATTGGTGCAAAGTATCAACAAATTCTAGAACTACATCTTCTTTAGCGACATGATCTCTAATGAAATGATGTCTAATTTCAATGTGCTTAGTTCTAGAGTGTTGGATGGGATTTTTAGTGAGACAAATAGCACTAATATTGTCACACTTGATAGGTATGGTACCAACTTCAATTCCATAATCTAAAAGTTGTTGTTTCATCCATAAAACTTGTGCACAACAACTACTCGTTGAAATGTATTTCGCTTCAGTGGTAGATAATGCAACACAATTTTATTTCATTGAAAACCAAGAAATCAGCATATTTCCTAGGAATTGGCAAGTACCGGAGGTGCTTTTCCTATCTATTTTTCATCCTCCATAATCCGCATCAGAGAAGCATACAAGCTAAAGCTAAAGTCTCTAGGATACCAAAGTCCTAAACTAGGAATATCCTTAAGGTATCTAAAGATTCTATTAACAGCTAGTAAATATGATTCCTTAGGGCATGATTTAAATCTAACACATAAGCAAACAGTAAACATGATGTCTGGTCTACTTACGGTTAGATAAAGCAAAGAGCCAAACATTGACCTATACAATTTAACATCCACACATTTACCTCCTTCATCTTTGTCAAGCTTTGTTAATGAGCTCATTGGAGTGACATGAGGTTTCCCATTTTCCATTCTAAATTTCTTGAGTATATCCTTGACGTATTTTTCTTGATTGATGAAGATGCTATCTTTTCTTTACTTGATTTGGAGTCCCAAGAAAAACGAGAGCTCCCCCATCATGCTCATCTCAAATTCACTCTGCATTACCTTAGAAAATTCTTGGAAAATAGCATCATTAGTAGAACCAAATATTATATCACCAACATAAATTTGAACTA